TCCGCCCGTTTTCACCGACAGAAGTCGGGGAGCGGCATCGCTGGGGGCGCTGTAAAGCCTTCAGCGGGCAGAGAGCTGCTCTGGCTGCCCCGGGGAAGGCCAGGTGTGCGTGCCGCTGTGCACCCTCAGTTCTCGGCTGCTCTGGGGAGCAGGCTGGGAGACAGGTGGGTTTGGGCAAAGAGCTGTGTCCTCACCACAGGCACCTGCTGAAACCCCAAACTTTACATCTTGGGGGACAGGTATGTTTCCAGGTGTGTGAGCACCGCGCTGGGGAGCACCGGGGCGGGCCCTGGCCTCTGTGAGGCTGGCACTGGGTCATCGCAGCAGGGAGGCTGGAGGAACCTGACCCTCCTGCCGGCCCTTTCTCAGCTCCCGGACAGGGTCCCGCCCACCCGCTCCCACCTGCCTCAGGTGTTCACTGGGGCAGAACAGTGCCCGGATGTCTCCAGGGGCCCCCGGGGGGAAGGGGGCCTGAGCTGGGCTGATCCCATGGCTGTGGACCCGGAGCGGTAAGCCAGGCGCGGGGGTCGGGGAGCAGCCCCCAGAGGTGGATCTCCGCACCAGCCCCGAGCCCTGCTCACCCGCAGCGCGGCCTCCGGGTCCCCGGCCAGCAGGTGCACGCAGCCCACGTTGAAGCACATCTTGGCGGGCGGCTCCGGGAAGCCGGAGAAGAGGCGCAGCGCGCAGCCCCAGTCCCCGCGCTCCACGGCCTGCACGCCCCGCTGCCAGTCGCGCACCTGGTCCCCGAGCGAGGGCATGGCGGCGTCCGCACCTGGCTCGCCGCCGGGAAGTCCCTGCTTCCGGGCAGGAGCGCGGCAGGTGGAGGGTGGGGTCGGGGAAGGGTCCAGAGAGATGACCGTGGAGCAGGGACGTCCGGGTCCGGAGGTGGGCTCGGGCTGGGGGGCCCCTCCGAGGCCGGTCGGGGGGTCAGGGGAGGCGGACTGACCCCGGGGCACCTGTCCGGGGGCAGGATGTCCCCAGAACCAGGTGCGCCACGCCTCCTGCCGTCCTGGGGGCCCCTGGGGCACAGCGGCCCCGCCCCTTCCCGCACGGCCCCGCCCACCAGGCACGACCCCGCCCCGTCGGGACAGGCCCCGCCCAGTATGGCCAGGCCCCGCCCCTCTCAGTGTCCGGCCCTTTCCGTGGCAGCCCCGCCCCGCCCCGCCCCGCCCGGGCTGGCCCCGCCCCTCGGGACTTCCGCCCAAAAGTGCCCTCGCGCCGCCGCTTCGCCCGGGATCGGGGACCCGCGGGGCCGCGCGGCCTGGTGCTCCGGGAAAGCCGTCCGGGTCCCTTGCCTCCGCCGCTGCCGGGGCCGCGCCAAGGTTCCGGGCGGCCCCGCGGGTTGAGGTGAGCGCCCCCCGGGGTGCGCGCCGAGGCGGGCGGGCGGGCTCGGCGGCGGCTGAGGCGCCGGAGGCCGGGCGGGGCCGCGGGCAGCGGGCAGGGCTCAGCCCGCCCCTCAGGGGCCGAGCCGTCGCCGCCACCCGCCCCGGGCCGAGTCTGAGGGCGCGAAGTCCGGTCCCGCTCCGGAGCCGGCGCCGCTGGAGCGCGTCCCGGCCTCGGGCCCCCGGCCGCCGGCTCCGGGCAGCGGCGGGCGCCCTGGGGGGCCCCGGCGGGCCCTGGGCCGCCCCCACCGGGGAGCCGCGAGCAGCGCCCGGCCGCTCTGGGGCTGCCTCTCGGGCCCGCGCCGCCCCCGCTCCCGGCCCTCCCCCAGCAGGCGGACCAGCCCTCCGGCCTCGGGCTGGCGCCCAGATGGCCCCGTGGACCCTGAAAACGAAAGTTCTCCTAACAGGACACAGCTATGGGGACGAGCCAGCCTGGCCGGACTGGGGAAGCGGAAGTGGGCGACGGGCCCGGCGGAGCTGCCCGCGCGGCCGGTCCTGCGGCTGCGCACAGCGCCCCCTGCTGCCCTCTGCGGCTTCCCCGTCTAGGGGCCCCCAGGACCAGGCCCCGCACCGGGGAGAGGCCTGGATTTCATTATTATTATCTGTTCTTCCTTCCCCGAGGATGTCTCCCACAGACTTTTATTCATTTTTTATTTTTAAAAATATATTCTATTGATTTTTTTACAGACAGGAAGGGAGAGGGATAGAGTTAGAAACATCGATGAGAGAGAAACATCGATCAGCTGCCTCCTGTACGCCCCCCACTGGGGATGTGCCTGCAACCAAGGTACATGCCCTTGACAGTTCAGTCCGCAGGCCGACGACGCTCTATCCACTGAGCCACACCTGCCAGGGCTGATTTTCAGAGAGTGGAAGGGAGACAAACACCTCGATGGGCTTCCTCCTGCACCGCCCCCATCAGGGTCCAGCGGGGAGGAGCCTGCAGACCCAGTCCGTGCTCTCAAACGGGGGAGAACCCCGGACCCTTCGGCCTGCAGGCCCACGCTCTGTCCACGGAACTGCCGTCCGGGGCGAGAGGCGTTGAGTGCAGGAATTCGCTCACCCGGCTGTGGAGACCAGCGCGTCCACGGGGAGCCCGGGCCAGGCCGAGCCAGGGCCGCAGCTCACGGGCAGGCCGGCGGGAGGCCGGGCTCCCTCCTGGCCGGACCCTCCGTGTTTCTCGGGGGGCCTTCCGCCGTGGACGCAGAGACGGAGCGGCCAGCAGAGCCAGCAGGAGGGCTCGCTCGGGAGCAGCACAGACTGGCAGTTCAGGACAAGCTCCCTGTGGCCGGCTGGAGAGGACCCCCTTTGTGAAAGGAGGAGCTGGGGGGCGATGGCCACGGTCCGAGGGGAGGGGAGAGCTCAGGAAGATGGTTACTCAGAGGCCCGGGTCCTGCCAGGAGGCCTCTGGGCTCTGTAGCTGACATGGAGATTGAGCGCCCCCTGCTGGCCTCCTGTCTTCAATGCGCCCAGCACGCCTGTGCCCCGGACACAGCTGTAAACTGACCCCATGGAAGCCTGGGGCCCAAGCCATCCTCCCTGTGAGGTCAGAGGGCCTCAGAGATGGGCGGCCAGCCCACTGGGGGCCGTGGGGCCGGGCAGCCCTCTCCGTGCCCAGCCTGTGCCGAGTCCCCCAGGAGAGGGCAGGCGGGATCTGCACAGACGGGTGGGCCGTCGGAGACGCTGACGGAGAGCAGCCGTGGAGGGCCCCCAGCTCCGGACCGCCGCCCAGCGGGGCCCTGGAGGGTGGGGTGTGGGGAAGGGGGACGGGAGGTGGGCCGGGGCCGGGCTGGGGACTGTACAGGGTGTGAACCAGGGCAGGCGGGGCCGCGTGGGGGGCAGTGGCTCCATGGGGGCCCTGCTGTGGCCGTGCCCTCCAACGTGGGGAAGGCGCATGCACCTGTCCAGGCGGCAGGCAGCCGGTTGGCCCACATGGGGCGCCCTGACCACGTGCCTCTAGGAGACAGGGAAAAGGAACCGGGGTGCAGTGGAAGGACCTGGCCAGCCTCGGTTCCCTCCCCTGCGTGTGGCCAGCAGCCCCCTCCTGCTCTCACAGAGGGTGGGACAGAGGGGGCACCCGGCCACGGACACCCCCTCCCCAGGGCCCCTGACCTCAAACAGCTAGCACGGGGCACCTGGCCACAGACACCCCCTCCCCAGGGCCCTTGACCCCGAATAGCTAGCACGGGGCACCCGGCCACGGACACCCCCTCCCCAGGGCCCCTGACCCCGAACAGCTAGCACAGGGCAGCGCTGGTGTCTAGGTCCCCTGTTACAAATCCACGTGAAGCCCCGACTCCCGGTGGCCATATTTGGAGGTGGGCTTTTATTTATTATTTTTAATAAATAGTTTTCATTGGTTTCAGAGAGGAAGGAGAGAGGGAGAAACATCAGTGATGAGAGAATCATGGATCGGCTGCCCCCTGCAGGCCCCTCACTGGGGGGGGGGGCGCGAGCCCAAAACCCGGGCCTGTGCCCTGACCAGAATCGAACCCGGGACCCTTCCATCCATAGGCCGACGCTCTGTCCACGGAGCTGCACCGGCTTGGGCTGGCAATGGGGGTTTTAAAGAGGTGATTTAGGTGAAATGACGTTCTGGCTAAGTAACGGGTGACCTCGTGAGAGGAGGTGAGGACACACACACACACACACACACACACACGGAGGGAGGCCGTGAGGACCTGGGAGAGGGCTGCCTGGCCACAGACCTGCCACCTCCTCCTCTGCCCACAGGACGCAGTGCCTGCTGCCCGGGCCGGAGTGTGGTGGAGGGCACCCGGCCCGGCCCCCTGGCAGGAAGCGTGATGCCTGATGCCGCGGCCGCTGCCCGCGCGCTGTTTCCCGGTGGATGTGTTTGCACCGGGCGGGCCGGCCGGCCGCTCCCCGTGGCCAGCGGGCGGGAAGGAGGAGGCCAGGTCGCCACGCGCTCAGCTGTGAGCAGGGCTTGCACGGCCGTGCTGGGGCCTCAGCGCGTCGGCAGGGACGGGAGCTGTTGTAGGATGTTGTGGGGTGTTGGGCACAGTAGTGACCTCTGACCTCTGAGCTGGTCAGTCAGACAGGAACCCAGGAAACAGCCATACTGTGTGCTCCTTAGACATGTGGACGTGCCCGGCCCAGTGGCTCCCTGGCCGAGCGATGACCTCTGAACCAGAAGGTCAGGGTTCCATTCCCGGTCAGGGCACGTGCCCAGATGGCAGGCTCCATCCCCAGTGAGGGGGCGGGCAGGAGGCAGCTCTCTCTCTCCCTCTCCCTTCCTCTCTGACATCAATAAAAATGTATTTTAAAAAAAGAAACATGGACATTAAGACCCTCAGACGCCGAGGAGCCCCTGGGAGCGGCCTCCGGGCCGGCCTGGACCTGCAGGCGGCCGTGTGGTCCTGGGGTTCCCACAGCCGCCTGAGCAGGGAGTCACTAAGGCCCCGATAAAACAGGTTCGAGGAGGGAAAGCGGGGTACCCTCGCCAATGTGGGAGCGCGTCCAGCGTCAGACATGCGTCCGCGGAACCCTGTGGCCGCCGGTGCCGGTTCCAGCCTGGGTTCTCACTGCAGGTCCCCGCTTCTCTAGTCCCACCTTACTCAGGCTGCCTGCCCTCCCTGTCGCAGCCCTGCCGCCCTGAGGATGGACCCTGGACAGCCTGCTGGTGCAGACCCCACTGGTGGCCCTGCCGGTGGAGACACCGCTGGTGCAGACGCCACTGGTGACCCTGCTCCTGGTGAGTGCTGCTCTGTGGGGGAGTCTGTGTCCCCTTGTTCTGAGTCCAGCTGGGGCTGAGGGTGTGGGGTGCATGCCTGGGGTGTGTGTGTGTGTGTGTGTGTGTGCGCGGTGTGTGCAGGATGTGTGCTTGTAGTGCACTTGCATGATCCCCGTGTTGGCCATGTGGGGTGCATGTGCGTGTGCAGGGGGGGTCTGTGCTGGGGTAGCATGGAGTACGCAAGCTGGCCCCCCGTCTGTGCTGAGCACAGTGTGGCGTGAGGCTCACCTTTGGGGATGAAGAGGGTGACGGGATGCAGGTGGGGTGGGCCGGGGCAGCCCGGGGACCCTGACTCGGCTGCTGGCCCCGCAGCTCCTGGGCGCGCTGCGTGGGCCTGCGGAGAGGGCCCCTCAGAAACAGCTGGGAGGAGATGCGGGCGGGAGACTCAGACTCACACCTCGGCCCTTTCTCCGGGGGCGGCCCGGGCTGGGCCCCCCGGTGCCACTGGGGCGGGGCGGATGGCCAAGCCTGGGCTGAGAGTCACTGCAGCGAACGGGTGTCGGTGTCCGGTACTCAGGCAGCCGGCAGGCACAGCCGTGGTCCAGGCAGCCAGCTCAGCGTGGGCACTGGGTCCTGCTGGGCCGAGGGCGTGCCAGGCAGTGGTGGGAGCCTTTGAGATCCTGAGCTGAGAGCAGCCTCCTGCCTGGCCGGGGGGGAGTTGGGGGGAGGCAGGATGCTGCACTGGCCACTTTGTGGGGCACGGCAGGGCTGGGGTGGCTCTGTGGACACTGCCCACTGCTGGAGGCCAGGTATCTGCCAACTAGCATACGTACACACACTCATACACACATAAATACTCATACACATATGCACATCCACATGTACACACATATACTCGTGTACACATACATGCACACTCACACGCGCATACATACAGTCATGCACACATGCACACTCACACAGTGCACACGCACACACTCAGATACATGCCCGCTCTGTGCTCTCAGGCTGTCCTGCAGGGTCGGATGGACAGGCAGAAGGACTGTGGTGGGGCCTGGGGCACTTGGCTGTGGGGGGGGGAGGCTTGGGGAGTGCCCAGCTTATTGGGGCACAGCAGGAGCCGGGCATTGGAGGGGGGGCTGTGACATGACGCCGAAGTGGGGGCAGACCCGCTGGACATGCCTGCAGGCTCAGCTGGCCTTCGAGGGGCCTGGTCAGGGCTGTGGGCGCGGCCCTGCTGGCTGCCCCCTGCCCCCCAGCTCACAGCTGTTCCAGGACCTGCAGCTCCCGTGGCTGCAACGCCACCCGGGCTCACAGGCCCAAGGGGTGGGGGCCTGGGTACTGGTGGTGTCAGTGAGCCCGCCCACCACAGCCCTCCGTGGCCCTGTCTCGTCCCCAGGCCAGGACATGCTTGGGTTCCTGCCGGCCCTGCAGGCGCTGTGGTCGGCGCGGCAGCCGCAGCAGGTGAGCTGGGTGTGGGTGCTGGCCGGGCCCAGAGCACAAAGGCGGGAGCACCCGCTGCCCCCGCAGGGGCTGCCCGGGCCCCTCCCGCCTCCCGCTGTGCCCCGAGCTGGGGCAGGGCTGGCGTGAGCACCTGTGACTGAGGCGTCTCCACAGTTCAAGGAGGAGGCCTGGAGGGGCTTTGCTGCCCTGGACGACCCACACACTGCCCTCCTGGACCTGCTGGAGGCGCGCACGGCCCCGTGGAGGAAGGGCCCCTCCCTGGAGGCCTGGCTTGTGAGGGAGCTGGAGCGCTGGCTGCAGGCACGGCCTCCCCTGGGGCCCTCCCAGGTAAGCCCCTCCCCGGGTCCCATCGGCCACGTCCCTCAGACAGCTTCTCCCGCCTGCGTGCCCAGCTGATGGGCCTCACAGCTGGGGTTGCTGGGTGGTGGGGGCCGGGGACTCAGCCTGAAGACCAGCCATCGCCCCTCAGCCTGTGGGCTTGCCCCTCAGCCCCTGACGTCTCCCTCAGCGGTGTCTCCGCCTCCGGGCCTCACCCGCCCCGAGCCCCCGGCCAGGGCCACCAGCTGAGACCAGGTCTCGGCTTCCAGGGCGGCCCGGGGCTGGGGCCTCTGCAGGCCCGTGCGGCCAGGCTCCTGGCTGACAGCCCCCCGAGCCTCGTGGAGCCGCTGGTCAGGATCTTCCAGCTGCAGGACACAGACCGGGGGTCTCTGCTGGCCCTCGTCCACCAGCTGCACCAGGAGGGCAAGTTCAAGGAGGTGAGTGTGACCTCCATGGGGTCTGACCCCGCCCCGTGGCTGGGGCGGCCTGGGGGCCATCCCGGTTCTCGGCTGCGGCTGTCGGTTTGTGGGTCTGTGGGGTGAGCGAGAGTGGGCTGGGCTCACAGGGTCCACCCCGAAGTGCCTCTGCCTCTTCACCTGGGGATCCCGGGGCCTCGGGGACCAAACACCCGGACCCAGCTCAGGGCCATGCTGCCGCCGGGGCCCAGGGGCCCCCTGTGCCCAGGGCCTTCCTCCTGAGGCGCCGGGCCCTCCCACTCTGCCGGCGACACAGGGACACCCTGGCTCTGGCCCAAGGTCGTGCGCCGAAGCGCCTTGCCTGGGACGCTGCCCCAGCCTCCTGGTTCCATGCTGGATACCCTCTCGGGCCAGAGGGGCAGGGTGTGGGAGAAGCTAGTGAGGGTCCCTCTGCCCCCCCATGCCACCCCTGCGCCTGGGCCAGCCTGCTGTCCCTCTCTCCTCCTGCCCCACAGTCACCGGGCTTCTGTCGCTGTCCCCACCTGGCCTGCCGACTGCCCTCCTATGGGCCCTGCAGCCACGGCCACACCCGACCGGGCTGGGAGGTCCCTGGTCTGATCGGTGACAGGGCACGTCCGGCATCTATATCGCCAGAGCCCTGGGCGCTGCGTCTGCCGCTCCTGGACCTGCCAGGGCCCTGCCTGGGCCGTGGGGTGGCCCCTGCGTGTTTGCTGGTCAGGCCACGGTGGTGACATGAGGGACTGGCTCCCCAGGTCCTGGGGGCTCCCGCCGTCACGGGCTCAGGCAGGACCCGCCTCCCAGCAGCCCCGGGCCAGCCGCCAGCATCACGCCCCTGCTTTGGATGGAGGTTCAGTGGGGGGCACAGGGCTGGCACCCGGGCACAGATCACCGGCTGTGTGGGCGAAGCTGCCCGGTGTGAGCTGTGCCTGCGGTGCCCCCTGCTGGGGGTAAGGCAAGGCGTGGGCCTCGGTGAGGATGGAGGCTTTGCTGGGGCTGCCCGTGAGCGGCCTGGAGCCTGAGGGGAGGGGGCCTGGCCGGTGGCTCCAGGGACTCGGTCCGAGTGGGGCGACAGGGAGGGGTGGGCCTGCAGCACGCAGGGAGGTGCCTGGGTGGCTGAGGCGTGCTGCGGGCGCACGGGCCTGAGGCGATAGTCAGCCCCGGGGTGGGGCGTGGGGTGGGGCGTGGGAGTAGGGCTGAAGCAGGGATCCCGGGTGCAGGTGGGGGTTAGGGCCGGGGTGGAGGGAGCACCCCAGAGGGACGAGTCCAGTGTCCGGTGATCAGAGACAGTCCTGGCCAGGGACGGGGCTCCGGGCACTGACCCCACACCCGTGGCAGCTGGGCGGGGCGGGCACCGAGGCCGGACCCTGCCCCCGCTTGGGCTCTCGTTCCCAAGAGCCCGTCTGGTGAGGAGGCTCATGGGAAAGTGGGCGCTGGGGCTGGAGGTGCGTGCGGGCAGCGTGGGCCCCGCCGCCAGCCCTGCCTCCCGCGCGCGCGCTCTCTCTTTCCCTCTCTCTCTCTCTCTCTCTCTCTCTCTCTCTCTCGCCCGGACACCCGGATGGACAATGCAGGCGCCCCGCTCGCGGGCTCCACCGTTCCCAGCTGAATGGGCGGCTGTGCCTCGGAGAATGCGGACGGGGAGGCAGGCCCGTCCGTCTCCGGTTACACTGGGCCTTTCAGAGTGTCGGGCGCTGCCTGCGCCTCTCGCTCCAGGCAGAGCCACACAAAGGGGGCCCTTGTCCCCCCGCCCTGTGCGCCGAGCGGATTGTCCCGCGCCGGCGGGCGGTGTACGCTCCAGTGCCCACGCCCAGGCGCATTCAGCCGCCCAGCAGCGGGCACCGCTCAGGGCGCCGCGGTATTCCATGTCCCGGCGGCGGCTGGCTCCGGGCCGATGAATGCCCGCTTTTGTCTGCCGAGTTATTTTATTTACATTTTTTAAACAGCTTATCAAGGTAAAAGGATAGCTCTGCTTAAAAAGGGGGGCCTTGGCTCCGGGCCCAGCCGAGCCTCGGAGGTGGGGGCGGCATCCTGGGTCCCAGGCCACTGCCCCAGAGCAGCCGGGCGCGGGCACCCCGCCCACCGCCGCCTGGCCCTCTGGGTCCTTGGGGCTATTCTCCCCCAAAGCAGCTGCTCTGGGCCTGTCTGGGAGTTCCCACCTCCCGCCCTGACCGCCAGGCAGCGGGGCCTGCCCTCCGGCTCGGCCTGCGGGGCCCGGGCCCTCCCACCTGCGTGCCCCTCTGGACCTGGGTCTGAGGCCGGTTGCAGACACCTGGCCGGAGTGATCTTCCCACACCTGCTGGGCCTCACGTGACCAGGCCTGGACAGTCTGGGTCGTACCTCAGCTGCAGCCCGTCCAGAAAGGACCAGAGATCAACTCTAAGCCCAGCCGGGGGCAGAACCACGGGCAGCCCCCACCCAAGCCCACGATGGGGCCAAGCTAGGGGGCCTTCCTGGAGGAGGCGGTTCTGCTGCCAGCAGTCCCCCAGGTCACTGTGGTGGCCCCAGATGGAGTGGGAGCGCCCTCCCGTGGCTGGGTGAGACCAGGCAGCCTCCCCCTGGACCTTGCCCTCCCCCAGCCCAACATCCAGCCACAGAGCAGGCCGGGAGAGGGAGCACTCTGGCTGAGCCTGGGCAGGGAGCCGGCTGCTGTGGGAGACCAGGGGCAGCAGGGAAGTCCCCTTGGACAGGGCAGGCCCCTCCCAGGAGAGGCCTGAGCTCTGAGCACAGCGCCCTCCACACCGGCCCACCTCGGGCCGAGGCCCCTCCACAGCCAGTGGGCAGGTGGGGGGTCGGCACAGCAGCCCCCGGACGCCACTGGCTTCCTGTGGAGAGGGGAGTCCTGGCAAACAGAGAGGGAGCCTGGGGCTGGAGAACAGGGAGGGGCCGTGCCTGGCCTGCATGTGGCCCTCCCCTGCCGCCTGCCGCCCAGGCCACTCCCCCTAGGCCTGAGGCTCACCCAGGACAAGCAGAGGCATCTTGGGTGGGTGGGGGCCCAGGGAGGGCAGGGCCTGAGGGAGACGGTCTCATCCTCAGAGGAGCTGGACCCACCTGACTTGAGCACTGATAACCCCTCCCCCAGCCCTGCGCCCCCTCCCCCAGCCCTGCGCCCCCTTCCCGGGCCCTGTGCCCCCTCCCCCAACCCTGCACCCCCTCTCCCAGCCCATAATCCCTCCCCCAGCCCTGTGCCCCCTCCTCCAGCCCTGCGCCCCTCTCCCAGCCCTGTACCCCCTCCCCTGAACCTGCACCCCTCCCCCAGCCCTACACCCCCTCTCCCAGCCCTGCACCCCCTCCCCCAGCCCTGCACCTCCTCTCCCAGCCCTACACCCCCTCCCCCAGCCCTGCACCCCCTCCCCCAGCCCTGCACCCCCTCCCCCAGTCCTGTGCCCCCCCCGGCCCTGCACCCCCTCCCCCAGCCCTGTGCCCCCTCCTCGGGCCCTGCACCCCCTCCCCCAGCCCTGTACCTCCTCCTCCAGCCCTGTACCCCCTCCCCCAGCCCTGTACCTCCTCCTCTAGCCCTGTACCCCCTCCCCCAGCCCTGTGCCCCCCCCTGGGCCCTGCACCCCCCCCCCGGCCCTGCATTCCCTCCCCTGACTCTGCACCCCCTACCCCAGCCCTGCACCCCCTCCCCCAGCCCTGTGCCCCGCCCCCGGGCCCTGCACCCCCTCCCCCAGCCCTGTGCCCCCCCCCCGGGCCCTGCACCCCCTCCCCCAGCCCTGTGCCCCCCCCCCGGGCCTGCATCCCCTCCCCCGGCTCTGGGACTCCTCCTTTGGCCCTGTGCCCATCCAGCCACCTTGTGCCCCTTTCCCGGCCCTGGGCACCGGGGGGCTGGTGGACCCCGCTCTGGAGCCGGCCCGGCTATGGGCAGGGGTCAGCGGGCACTGGGAGAGGGCCCGCCCCTGCGATCCGGCCAGAGGCCCGGAGCCTTCCCCCGCTATTTCGGTCGTTCCTGTGAGCCGGCCGGCGGGCGGCGGCCCTGTGGTTATTTTTGCACATAATGGGAGCGCAATGTATGGAAATATTAATAGCACAGCCTGCGCTACGTGCGGCTCTCAACCCGGCGTGTTCTCTGCCAGGGCCTGGGGTCAGGTCCGGCTCCAGTGCACGCCCCCTCCCCCCCAGGGACAGCTGCCCCCCAAAACTGCCGGTCCTTGGCATGTCCCGGGGCGGCTCTGGGCTCCAGGGCACGTGATGAGGGCTTCTGCCTCTTGCCTGCCCCCCACCCTCTGTCCACTCAGGAGCAAGCCCTGGTCAGGGTCCCCGGGTCCAGCCCCCGCTGAGACCCTGTCCCCACCTGCCCCTGCCCCCGAGCAGAGCAGGGGCCGGGCCCCTTGCCGGGGGCCACGCGGCGGGACTGGAGCAGCCAGGCCCTCGCCGGCCCACAGGCTGGGCAGTGACCAGCGTCCGTGCAGAAGGGTGGCCGCCCGCCCCCCGCCCCCCGCCCCCGTGTGACGGCCCTTTGTGTTCGCCAGGCTGTCATGCTGGGCACGAAGCTGCGTCTGCAGCCAGAGCTGGACCTGGACATGGTGAGTGTCTTTCTCATGCAAATGCCCGGCTCCCACTTGGATGCGGCCCAGGCCTGTGGACGGGCGGCTGCCCACGCTGGGCCTGGGCCTGGCTCCCACGGGCGGGCGGGCCGGTGCGGAGGTCAGGGGTCACGTGTGAAGGGGACCTTGAGGAGGGCGGGAGGGGCCGCAGGTGCCCCTGAGCGGTCAGCGGGCTCTGGTGTCAGATGCTCAGAGTGAGGCCAGGCTCCTCTGCCCTGCGGGGGCCACAGGGGCGCCCAGGGGTGGGCCAGTGAGGACCGCCTGAGGCGGGCCCTGTCCCGCCTGGGCTCTGGATAGCTGGACTTCTGAGGGTGCGTGGGGGGCTCGGCTGAGGCTGGTTCTGGCAGGGGAGTGGCCATACCACAGCGGGGGCTCCCTCTGGGGCCTGCGGAACCGCGGCATGGGGTATTGGCCTGCGGGGGGCCCTCCTGCGCCATCCGGCGTTCCCGGCCCCAGGACCGTTGCGCTGGGACCCGTGCTGCCCTGTGGCCCCATGAACATCATCCGCGCCCTTCGCCGCGGAGACGGCAGGCACAGCCGCAGGGACCGGGCCCAGAGCCGCGGGGCCTGTGTGTGTGTGCATCTGAGTGTGTGCGGGCACACGTGTGCTCATGCGTGAGTTGTGGTTCGTGCACGTGTGTGCGCGCTGGGCTCTGACCTGCTGGGCTGTGCTCCCGGGCAGGTCCGCGGTCCGGCCGGCCCTGCTTCTGACGCCTGGGCTGCTCCCTGCCCCAAGGAGGAGCGTGGGCTCAGCCGGGGCGCAGCCTGAGGTGCCTCACGCCCCCCGCCCGCAGGTGAGCGTCCCGCTGCTGCTGCAGGACCAGCTGGGCCTGCTGGAGCGCTATGTGGAGGGCTTCCCCGGCCTGCAGCGGCGGCTCCTGGCCCTGCTGGACTCCTGGTGCCGGCCCGGCTTCGACGTCGGCGTTGTCGCCAGGTGAGTCTGCGGGGGGCCCAGGGCGGGGCGGGCAGCAGGCCGGGGAAAGCCACTCTCGGGCCACGTGCTCACCAGGGGATCCACAGCCAGGCCCCGGAGCGAGGCCAGGCCGGGGCCAGGGGCTGGGACGGCAGGAAGTGGGAGAGCTGATGCCTGAGGCCTCCAGCCCCAGTCGGAGCTGGTGTGTCCGGCGGCCCCGTCCCGTCTCTGTGGCTCTCTGCGGGCCCGCTGTGCTCCATCCCCGCAGAGAGGGCAACACACGTGGGGCCGTGTGTGTGCGCGTGTGTGCACATACGTGTGTGAGATACGGGGGTGACACCAGAGCGTGGGGCACAGGGATCCCCGGGTGGCCCAGTGCAGCTGTGCGGGGGTGCCAGCGGGTGCCAGCGGGTGCCGGGCGGGTGCCCCGTAGAATTGCCTGACGCTAAGACGTGCGTCTGGGTGACTGATGGGAAGGAGCACCTTACAGGGCTGTTGTTTCTATATGACTTTTATTGTCCCCAGAGAGGTGGGGAGGGGGAGAGAGAGAGAGAGAAATCAATGATGAGAAAGTCGTCCATCGCCGCCTCCTGCTGGGGACCGAGCACAGCCCAGCCTGTGCCCTGACGGAACGGAGCCCTGACCCCCGGTCCAGAGGCCGATGCCCAGCCTGAGCCGCGCCGCCCGGCTTACGGGTGTTCCCGAGCAGGGGCAGCTGGGCAGGAGCCGTGTCTCTCCGCAGGCGGTACCCGCAGGCGGCCCCCCAGGCGCTGGAGAAGCTGCGGCCCCGGGTGCTGACGCGGCAGGTGCTGCGCCTGCAGAACCGCTTCGGCCTGGACCCAGGTGAGGGCGCTCCCGCCGCCCCCGGCTGCCTCCCCCCCCCCCCCGCCGCCTCCCCCGCGCCTGGTCACAGCTTTGCGTGGCCTGAGTCCTCGGTGCGGTGGAAATGTGTCATTACAGGGACATTGAACTTCTCATCTTTAATTTATAGATATAGATATAAATAAAAGGTATATATTTCAGAAATGAAGGGAGGAAGAGAAATATCCATGATGAGAAAGAATCACTGATCAGCTGCCTCCTGCACGCCCCCCACTGGGGAACGAGCCCACAGCCCGGGCCTGTGTCCTGACCGGGAATCGAACCGTGACCTCCTGGTTCCTAGGTTGACGCTCAGCCCCTGAGCCCCACAGCTGGGCTGACTTCTCGTCTCTGAAAGGGTCTCTCCTCTCTCTGGCTGCTTGGTGCTCAGCAGCGTCCCCGCCAGGAGACTCCATACTCCCTTTGCTCACTCACAGCACTCGCTGGGCTGTTAGAACCGGGGCGGGGGGGGGGGGGGGGGGGCATCCCAAGTGCCCTCGGGGCTTGAAGAGTGGGCGGCTCCGATGCAGGTGGGAGGCAGCCGAGGCCGAGGCTACGGTGAGGAGAGGGGGAGTGGATGAGGCCGTGGGGAGAGGGGAGGGGCCATGGGGGAGGCCGTGGGGGAGGGGGAGGCCGTGGGGGAAGGGGGAGGCCGTGGGGGAGGGGGAGGCCGTGGGGGGAGGGGGAGGCCGTGGGGGAGGGGGAGGCCGTGGGGGGAGGGGGAGGCTGTGGGGCCATGGGAGAGGCTGTGGGGGAAGGGGGAGGCTGTGGGGGAAGGGGGAGGCTGTGGGGGAGGGGGAGGCCGTGGGGGGAGGGGGAGGCCGTGGGGGAAGGGGGAGGCCATGGGGGAAGGGGGAGGCCGTGGGGGAGGGGGAGGCCGTGGGGGAGGGGGAGGCCGTGGGGGGAGGGGGAGGCTGTGGGGCCATGGGGGAGGCTGTGGGGGAAGGGGGAGGCTGTGGGGGAAGGGGGAGGCTGTGGGGGAGGGGGAGGCCGTGGGGGGAGGGGGAGGCCGTGGGGGGAGGGGAGGCCGTGGGGGGAGGGGAGGCCGTGGGGGGAGGGGGAGGCCGTGGGGGGAGGGGGAGGCCGTGGGGGGGAGGGGGAGGCCGTGGGGGGAGGGGGAGGCCGTGGGGCCATGAGGGAGGCCGTGGGGGAGGGGGAGGCCGTGGGGGAGGGGGAGGCCGTGGGGGGAGGGGAGGCCGTGGGGGGGGGGAGGCCGTGGGGGAGGGGGAGGCCGTGGGGGGAGGGGGAGGCCGTGGGGGAGGGGGAGGCTGTGGGACCCGGCCGACCTGGTGCTGAGCCGTCCTCTCTTTCAGCGTCCTGTCCCCACGCTGTAGCCCAGCAGCGCCTGGCTGCCCTGCGGTACCTGTGCTACAAGAGGTTTGTGGAGGTACGTGTGCCCGTGGGGGACGGGGTGGCCGTGGGGGGGGAGGGTGGGCGTGGGGAGAGAGGGTGGGTGTGGGGGAGGGGGCAGGCCCTGGGGAGAGGGGGTGGGTGTGGGGGGAGGAAGTGGGCGTGGGGAGAGAGGGTGCCCGCGGGGAGAGAGGGTGGGTGTGGGGGAGGGGGCAGGCCCTGGGGAGAGGGGGTGGGTGTGGGGGAGGTGCTGTGCCCGGCAAGGGCCTGGGCCGGGGTGAGGGGCATGAGGCCGTGTTGGCGCCTTGGAGCTGCGGCTGGAACAGGCTCGGTGTCCTTGCAGGGCAGCATGTCCCAGGAGGACTGGACCGACTTCGTGCGGGTGAGTCTGAGCAGGAGGCCAGCCTGGGGGCCCTCACACGGGTCCCGAGGGGGGTGTGTCTGTGTAGACCAGGTCTGTGGTCAGAGGCCCCCACAGGATGGCAGGGAAGGGCCCTCCCCTTTAGGCCATGCTGGAGGTGAGACTGCCCCCTGGCCCCGGGTCATCACAGCCCCAGGCTGCCCCCTGGGCCCGGGTCATCACAGCCCCAGGCTGCAGTGGCCTTGGGGGGGGGACGTAGTGCAGGTGCACAGGGCCTGGTCATGGAGTTGGTCAGCTCCCTCCCAGGTGGCTGACGCCATCGTGTCCTGAGTGGCATCCAGTGGGGGGCAGTGCTGAGCCGCCCTGGAGCGGGGGGGGGGGGGGGGGCGGGCAGGGTGAGTCACCGGACAGGAACGCGGACCCCAGGCCAGGCCCGGAAGGCAGTCCCCGAGTGCGGCCATCCGAAGAACGCGGAGGGCTTCCACATATTGTCCGCGTGGGAACTCCGGCTGCGGCTGCGGGAAGCGGAGGCCCGGGCCGTGGGGGCAGAGCCGGGGGGGGGGGGGGGGGGGGTGGCTGGCGCTTCCGGGGCTGAGCGGACGCTGATGGAAACCCCGCTCCCACGCCGGACGCTGGGGTGGGGCGGCCGGGCTGGGAGCTGCCCTCGGGGGGCGGGGGGGGGAGCGGGGCCCAACCACGTGCTGGCCCCCAACCCGGCTGAGAGGAGGTGCTGGCAGGTCCCCAGCATGGCAGCCGGAGGGCCCGGCGGGGGTGGCAGGGACAGCCGACCGGCTGTGGGTGCGCAGCCTGCCGCTCACCTCTCGTCCCCGGAGCCGCCGGCCTCGGGGCAGACCCCCCTGAGGCTGCGCCGGCTGAAGGGGGAGGTGCAGGCGGGGCTTCGGGCCTCTGCACCCACGCCCGCCCGCAGACCCGAGGCTCAGCCACGCTGCCTGTCCCCAGGGCCTGGTGGGCTCCAGCGAGTGGCTGCAGGGCCGGCTGCTGCGGCTGCTGGCCTCTCGCACTGACGCGGCCACCGTGGCCCGGTGCGCGCTGGACCTGTCGCTGCCCGAGGAGTGGCTGCCGGCCACGGGGGCCACGGAGCTCCGCCGGCTCAGGCTCCAGGGCAGGTGAGCCCCGGCTGGGGCCGGCGAGGGAGACGCGCCCTTGGGCCCTTGTCCCAGGGGTTATGTGTCCGCCGTTTGGAATCAGAAACAGAAACCAGGAATGGGGTGCACACCCCCTTCCCAGCGAGCAGCCAAGCAGAGCACGGGAGACAGGTCCCTCCTGGGGACCCGAGTCTGGGTCTCACCCCCCAGGAAGCTCTCACGCCCACAGTGGGAGGAGGATGGGGCAGACCCCGCCCAGTGAGGCCAGGACATGGCGGGGGACCCGGGACAGCAGGTGCCAGCGCTGCCTCCTCCTAGGCCGGCCGAGGCGCCCTCCCAGGACACCACGGGCCGCTACTACCAGCTGCCCATCGCCAGGAAGGACGTCCACCTCCTGGCCTCGTGGGAGGAGCTGGCCCGGCACGGGGCTGAGCTGCTGCAGGTGGGCCACGGGGCTGCCATTGGGGCCGTGGGCTCCGTCCACGCCTGCCTCGTCCCACAGCGGGGCACATGCACCGGCCGGTTCACGGCGCGGCCCTGCTGAGGAGGGAGGGGCAGCCTCACCCGCACGTGGTTCACGGCGCGGCCAGGCCTCCCACCAGCCCCCGCCCGCCCGGCGGCGCCCGCTCAGCCCGCCTACGGCCTCTCTGCAGCCCGGCCAGGTGGTCGCCCTGGACCTGGAGTGGAGGCCTTCGTTTGGTGCCTGGGACCGGCCTCCGGCGTCCCTCCTGCAGCTGGCCGTGCGGGGCCGCGTGCTCCTGCTGGACCTGCTCACGCTGTCGCAGCCGGGGGGGCAGGCGTCCCGGGCCCTCTCTGGGCTGGTGTCCGGGCTGCTCTCAGACCCGTCCATCACCAAGCTGGGTAAGCGCGGCCACCCGGGGTGCAGTGCGAGGGGTCGGCCCGCCCTCGGTGCCCTCACCCTCTGCTGCCCGCAGGCTATGGCATGGCCGGCGACCTGAAGAGACTGGCAGCCTCCTGCCCTGCCCTGGCCCTCGCGCCCCAGCAGCTGCAGGGCGGCCTGGACCTGCAGCTGGTGCACGGGCAGGTGAGCACCGCGGGGCGGGCGGCCCAGGAGCTCGGTCCATCTTCTCAGTCCTCCCCCCAGCCCTGCCCCTCACTACGGTGACCGGGGCCCGGAGGGCTGGACCCCAGGGTGTCCCTCATGTGCCAGGAACCCCGGAGCCACCCCCTCTGGCTCCTCTCAGGAGCTCTCAGCACGAACCCGGAACAGGCAGGTGGGCGGGGACCACAGCCCCAGACCCCGGTCCAGCCTCCTGTCCCTCCGTCCTCGCACGGACTGCTGTGGCGCAGGGCAGCCAGGGCATGGCCGTGCCCCCATCCCCTGGGCGGGCCTCACCGGGCACTGTCTTGGCAGATCCGGGAGGCCGACGGGCCTGCGCCGGGCAAGGACCGGGCCCCGGAGCCGCGGGGCCTCAGCCTCCTGGTGCAGCAGGTGCTGGGCAGGCCCCTGGACAAGGCGCAGCAGCTCTCCAACTGGGACCGGCGGCCCCTGGCCGAGGGGCAGCTGCTGTATGCGGGTACGTGCCCCGCCCGCCCCGCCCTGCCCCCCGGTCCCCTGCGGGAGGCTAAGGCTGCCCCTGCCCCCAGCTGCCGACGCCTACTGCCTGCTGGAGGTGTACTGGGCGCTGTGCAGCGAGCCCGCCCGCGTCCACCTGGTGGGGGACCTGGCCCGGAGCCCGGAGCCGCCCGGCCCGCAGGAGGCCGCCGCCCCGCCCCAGCAGGTGACCGCAGACGGGGTCCCTCAGGAGCGTGGGTCCTGGTGCGGGTGGAGGCCTGGGGTGGGGGGGCCCGGGTGGGGGGGCCCGGGTTCCTCCATCCGGAGAGGAGCCCAGAGTGTGGGCAGTTTCCTGGAGGGATCCCAGCCCTCCCGACGCCAGGCCTGGGTGTCCCCGGCCCCCAGAAGTCCAGGGCAGCATCTGGCTGTGCCTGTGCTCCCTGAACCCCACTTCAGGGCCACGGGACCCCCGGGGACTGAGCCGGGTCCTCGGGACCTAGTGTGGGTGATGATTGTTTTATCTGTTTTCTGCGTTGGGCTCACTGCTCAAGATTCTCTTCACAATTTTTAAAAAAATATATTTTATTGATTTTTTCAGAGAGGAGGAGAGAGGGATAGAGAGCTAGAAACGTCGATGAGAGAGAAACATCGACCAGCTGCCTCCTGCACACCCCCTACCGGGGATGTGCCCGCAACCAAGGTCCATGCCCTTGACCGGAATCGAACCCGGGACCTTTCAGTCCACAGACCAACGCTCTGCCACTGAGCCAAACCGGTTTCGGCAGTAATTTCTTTTTTTTTAAATCGACCAGCCCGGCGGGCGTGGCTCAGTGGTTGAGCACCAACCTATCAACCAGGGGGTCACAGTTCGATTCCTGGTCAGGGCACAGGCCCGGGTTGTGGACTCGATCCCCCGTAGGGGATGTGCCGGAGGCGGCCGACCCATGATTCTCTCTCATTGATGTTTCTCTCACTCTCCCTTCCTCTCTGCAATCAATCAAATATAAAAATAAAAATCGAGCCACCGCTGGGCCCCGAGTGCGGGGCGGCTGCTGCTGAGTGGGCTGCGTTGCAGGTGCTGGAGGCGGAGGCGGGGGCGCAGGCCCCGGAGATCCCGGTCCGGGCCTTCCGTGTGGTGTGTGACAGCATGCTGCAGGGGCTGGCACGCAGCCTGCGCCTCCTGGGCGCCGACGTGCTGGCGCTGGGCAGCGGCGAGGACCACCGCCGGGCGGCCGAGGTGAGCGCGGCGCGCCCGCGGGCTCTGTCCCTGTCCCGGCCCCGGCTCTGCTGGGCGCGGGGCTGTGTGGACGCCCTGGAGCCGAGCAGCTGTGGCTGGCCCTTCCTGGCCCCAGTCTCTGGGCCACTTTACCCCCGTTCCCCCCGGAAACCGGGCAGAGGCGATGGGGCTGCAGCAGCGGGTCCCGGGCAGGCGCCCTCACCGGTGGTCCTGCCTCTGCACAGGTGGCCCGGCAGGAGGGCAGGATCATCCTGACATCAGGGCTGCCGTACCACACGGTGAGGACCCCCGCGGGCCCCGCCCCTCACACCCCAACTCCATCTGCTGTGGCCACCGGCCCCCTGGTGTCCTGAGTGGACCAAGGGGAAGCCGTGGGCCTGAGGCTGGGGAGCTGGGGGGCGGGGGGAACGGAGGCTGGGAGCAGGGGCTTAGAGGGGAATGGGGCAGGGGACTTGAGGGTTAGGGGGCAAAGGGGCAGGGCGGCCAGGCTGTTCCGAGCTCAGCAGCTGGCCCCTCCACAGCTCCGGTCCCAGGTCGGGGATGGGCGCTGTCTCCGGGTGGACTGCAGCCTCAAGGCCGCGCAGCAGGCCAAGGCCGTGCTCCGGCGCTTCAACGTGCGCGTCAGCCCCTCCGACATCTTCAGCCGCTGCCAGGTGGGTCCCCCGCTGCCTCGGGGCGGAGTCCTGGCCGCTGTGCGCAGAGGCCACTGCCCGTGTGAGCTGTCCCACTGCGTCCTCTCTCCTCTTCAGCCCCCGGCCCCCATGCCCCACGCCAGGGTGCGGGCTGCAGGGGCTCCGTGGCCAGGGCCCGGCGTGGCCGGCAGGCGGCTGCGGGCGAGGGAGCCGCTCAGAAAAGTGCTGTCCGTTAGGACCGGAACTGCCCTGCGTCCGGCGACCTCCGCAGGCCTCGGGGAGGGAAGGAAGCTGGGAAGTCGACTGGCTGGGCGGGGCCCTCGGGCTCCTGGGGCCACGGGCATCCGGAAGGCTGGGGAGCAGGTCCCGGGGTGGGGGGGTAGGGGGGGTCCAGAGGGCTCAGCCTGGGCGCCCGATGCTGACTCACCTCCTGCGCCCAGGCTCTGCGCTCTGAGCCCCCGCCCGCCCTGGGGGTAGCCTAGCTGAGGGAGGATGCAGCCTTTCAGCTGGGCCTGCGGGCTGGGCCAGGCTCCAGGTGCAGAACATTCTGGAATGCGGGTCCGCGTGAGGAGGGCCGATGGCTGCAGCAGCCCCTCCAGCCGCCCCAGAGGGTGAGGAGGAAGGAAGGGGAGCCTGCGTCCGGCGGGAGGGCCACGGACAGCGGCCACTCCGGCCTCCCTCGGGCTGGAGGACCGGAGGGGAGGGCGCTGTCGGGCCCGGGACCTCCCGGAAGCGGGGCGGCACGCTATGAGCTTTTCGGAGAAAACAGGACGTGGAGAGCCGAGAGGAAGGCCCCTCTGGTGCCTGGGAAGCACGTGCTGGGAGCAGCCTGCATCCATCAGTGCTCCAGGGCCAGGCCGGACCCGCCGCCCCTGGCCCAGGCCTCAGGCTGGGAGGGAGCCTAGGGCGGGGGCTGACTGCAGGCTGGGGGGCAGAGCGCCCCCTGGTGGCCATGGGGGCGGACGGCACTCAGTGGCCGAAGTGGACGGACTGGGAGTGCGGACAGGGCAGGGGGCGTGCACCTGTGTGCCGCGGTAGCCGGCTGGAGCGGAGGGGCGGTCAGGATGACGCGTGTGGCCAGGTTCCGGGTTTCAGGCTGAGGGGCGGGGCTGGGCGGGGTCCTGGGTTTGGAGTGGAGGGGGGTTGGGACCCTGGCGTGGGGCGTGGGGGTTGGGTGGGGGTCGGAGAATGGCTTCCCGCAGGCGTGTGGCCGCTGGCGAGGAGGTGGGGCCGGTGCAGCCGCCCTGACTGGCGTGGGGGCCACAGCGGGAAGGGGGTGGGGCCCCGGCAGAGACCTGTGCGTGGCCCCCGCGGGGGCTGGCGCTGCCTGGGCAGTAGGTAATGGCAGCGTGGGGTGAGGCAGACACTGGCGCCCTGAGCCGCCCCACCCCGCAGCCCTGAGCCGGGCGAGAACCCGCCGGTGGCAGCGTGGGAAGCAGGACCCTCGGGCCTACGGAGCCTGCGGAGCCTGCGGAAGCACAGCCGGCCACAGCCCCCCCACCCCACCCGGGCTCAGCCCCGAGGAGACAGGCAGGTGGCCCCAGGCAGGCCCCTGGTGGCAGGGAGGCGTTTGGGGGATCCGCAGGCCCTGGAAAGGCAGGCAGGTGTAGGGCCAGGTGGGCAGAGAAGGGGATCTCTGAGAAGCCGGGCTTTCTCCACTTGGACCGGCCTGGTGACCAGGAGGCAGGGGGGAGGGTGCCGGGGGGGGGGGGACGCTGTGTGCATCAGTGCTGAGGCTGAGCCCGGTCCCCACCGCAGGGGCACCGTGGGTCCAGGAGCCTCGGCCTCGGTCCCACTGCTGCGCTCCGAGCCCTGTGTGGCCTCCCCAGCTGCCCAGTGCCCGGGAGCCGGTTTCCAGGGCGGCCAGGGGGGCCGAGGCCTCCCAGGGGGATGCCAGCAGGCCCAGAACTCCCAGCACCGGTGCCACCCGGTGCCCCAGGCAGCAGGCGGCGGCCGGCCCCGCCCCCACCGCCGGGAGGCTGGGCTGCTCCTCGCCATCTGGGCGGGAGAGGGCGCTGGCGGCAGAGCGGTGCCCTCAGGCTGACCCAAGAGGGCCCTTTGGGCTCCGCAGGGGCCCCGCGCCCCCCAGCCCGGCCCGAGGGCCCGGACGCTGGCTCCGCGCCCCTGCCCCCGCCCGGCCGAGCTGGCCTCCCCGGAGAGCTCCGGCCGCCGTTCCCACTCCCCTCTCCCCTCGGCTATTTTGGGGCCGTTCCCAGAGGGAGACGCGCTCCGCGCACGAGCATTCCCAGGGCAGGCCTCCCGCCCCGGCTGGCGCCGGGCACCCCGAGTGCGTGAAGGTGGGAGAGGCATTGGGGCTGGGGCGCCCGCAGCCCTGCACCCCCAGCGCCTGCACCTGACCCCGGCGTGGCCGCTGCACGTGGGGTGCCCCGGGCACGGGCACGCGGTTTCCGGGCGCCGGCGGTGGGACAGGGAGCTCTTGGGGCCGCGGGGCGCGTACAGGCGGGGGGGGGGGGTTCTCTCAGGGGCGGGGGGCTCCCCTCGGGGGGCAGGAGGGCGGTCCCACAAAGGCCATCGGGCCAGACTGTCCACAGCGGCCGCTGCCCGGAGCCCGTTCCCAGTGCTGTCCATGGGAAAATATTTTATCAAAGAAATTTGAGTTAAAAAAAAAGGAAGCCTACGCACGAACCCTGACACGGCCGGCCGGCATCTATTTTTACTGCCCTCGGTCCCCTGCGGTGAGCTCCCGCAGGGAGGGGCCCGGATGTCAGCCCCGATGCCCGGAGGGGGCCCCAGAGCGTGGCCGGTGAGGGGGACTGCGGGCAGCTGCCCCCGGTGCCCACGCCTGGAGCCCGCGCTGCCCCGGCCCCAGCCGAGACCTGCCTCTCCCGATGGCCAGCCCCCGACGGAGGGACAGGCAGGAAGAGGCTCGAGCGCTGACCCCACCCTCCCCGGCCATTGTGCTCGGGCCCCCGGCCCAGTTCCCACACTCGGTGCCCCGGGGTCAGGCAGGCACAAAGGCTGCGGGAGGGGCCGCGCCGAGGCGGGGCCGCAGCCGGCGGGGCGACTGGCGTCCAGGCCCCGGAGCTGTCAGAGTCGCAAGGGCTGGGCCTTAGTGCCCCAGACTGGACGCCGGCTGGTCACCCTGTCCCACTCGGCTCCTGGCCCTTCCTTCCCACAGCCCGGGGGCCCTGCCGGCTGCCCCTTCGTCAGAGAACCCTGGTCCCACCCGATGGCCCTGGGGTCCTGGACCCCACCATCCTGGGCACCCTGGCTCCCGGTGGCCGCTTCAGTATGGGCCCTGGCACTGAGCCAGCGTGGCACCCACACCCTCCCCCCCGCAGCCGCTGCCGGCCACAGCGGCCTGGCATCAGCTGGCTCTTGTGTGTCCTCCCCGGGAGGGAGGCACGCGGGTCTCCAGCCTGGCTCAGACCCACAGGCGGCGCCACTGCCCTCCGGACCTCTGTCCCGAGTGATTCTCACCAGCTCCCCCAGCCCTCGGGGCCTCAGGCAGGCTCTGGGGCTGCACCCTGGGCGCTGGCAAAAGCATGAGCACAGGCCGGTCCACTTCCGAGCGGGTGACCAGCTTCCAGCTGGAACAGGCCGCGCCGGGCGTCGTAGCAGCCTGGCAGGCCGGGGTGGGGAGGCTCAGGGCTGCAAGGGGCAGCCTCGGCCTGTGGGACCCTGAGGCCCAGGGTTCGTGGAGCCAAACCACGTGGATTTGAGCCTTGGCGTCCACAATGCCCCTCATGTACCCAGGCCCGGGGCTGCTCCCGAGGATGGAGCGGCTCTTCCAGGCGAGGTCCCCGCATCGGCTCTGCCCGGCCTGGGGCAGGGCTGCCGTGCCCGGGGCCTGGCTGGCGTCTGGGGGGGGAGTTCTCGCTTTGGAGCAGCAGCCCCAGAGCAGAAGTGGGCCCCGGAGCCAGGCCACCGGCCTCAAATGGGTGGCCACGGGCCTGGCTCGGGTAGCAGGCTGACCCTGCAGGCCGCCGGCCGCCGGGCCTGGATGGAGGCAGCGGGACAGGCCGGGGCTGCAGGCACAGGGCCGGGCCGGGGGCGGCTGTGGTTTGAGGCTGAGGAGGGGCCTTAGGGAGCAAAGGAACTGCCAAGCAGTGACCCATCCATCCCCGGGGCTAACAGCCGCCCCTGCGGGCGAGTCCCCCACCTTCTGAGGCTGGCAGAGTCCCTGTGGGGCAGCTCGGCCGGCAGGGTGGGGCCGTGCCTCTGTGAGACCGCGGGGGCACCGGGGCCCTGCAGAGCAGTGGGCAGAGCCGGGCGTGGCAGCACTGCTTCCTCCCGTCTCCCACACCCACGGGGGCGGTGCAGGCGCAGGTGCAGGTGCTCAGTGGCCCGCGGCCGTGGGAGGGCAGGAAGGGGCGGGCAGGAGACCCCTTCACCAGCCGCGTGCCCCACCCCCTGTCACCCAGCTCCTGCGGCGCCCACGCCCACCCTCCACGGCCCCACAGGGCAGAGGCTGCTTCCCCCGGGGCCCCCGGCCCCTGGCCCGGGCGGCGTGCTGAGGCTCTTTGGAGGCACCCGTGTGTCTTCCCGGACCCGGATCGGGGAGCAGGGAGGGTCCCGGCCTGGGCAGCATGGTGGCCAGTGGGCGGCGGGCGGGGGTCCGGGCTGCCACCTGTGCCGGAGGGAGGGCTCGTTGCTCCTCTGTGGGAGGGACAGTCCGGGCGCCCGGGATTGTGGGGGCCCAGCCTCTCTGCGTCCCCAGCCTGGGTGAGGGGAGCCCCGGCTCCCAGACCCCAGCGCCCCTGACACACACACACCCCCGGGCGCGGGAGGCAGGTAGGCGGGGCCGTTAGCTTTTGAATCCCGGCCGTTGCCCTGAGTGGCCCTTTCAAAGGCCGGCGGGGGCGGGAGCGGTTCCCAGGCGGCCCCGCCCTCGCGCCCCTCCCCCCGCTTTCCCACGCGGCCGCCGGCGGGTTCTCACGCCGCCCCTCCCCCGCCTGGGAATGGCTGCGGTGCCCAGCCTGGCCTGGGGCGCCTCCGGGCTCCCGGACGGGAGGGGTGTCACGCGGGGGGGGGGGGGGGCGCTCCGAGGCTGGGGAGCA